ACTGGGATCTCAGCCCAAACTAGCCAAACGTTGCTAAATTTCTGTGCTGGCAAACGGAGTGGGGTAGCTGTGCGCCAAAATTGTCCTCTTTTGCTACCTCTTACACCATTGTCTTGAGAGAAGTGATTTTTTCCATTTTAACGGTATCCACAATACAGCTTTTGGAAACATGTTTGAGAAATATTGAAAAATCATACTTCAGCCTAGTACTGTTTTGAAGGCTTAAAAGGTTATGTTATACTTGTCCTTATTACCATTACTCAACTCGTAGAGCATGCAATGCAATGGGGCATGGAGAGAGGAATGAGAAAAGCAAAGGGCTTGCGGCTCGTTATTGGAGCGACCAGTAAGTCTGAGTTTCTGATACCTCTCTGCGTTCCTCACATTGCTGAAGAGAAAATGTTTATGAAGTATGGTATTTGAGGAAATAAACGTTCTGTGGCTATTCAGAGTGCCTTGTTTTTCATGAAGTCTCATTCCACTTATCCACAAAAGAGAGGCTTTTAATTAGACTTCTGAATCCCATTAGGAAAAACAAATACCAATACTTAACAACTCATAAGTGACAAGATGGAAAATTGCTAATGTAATTAGATTTTTAATAGTGTTAATGACTCTCATTTCTTATTAATAAGAATGAAACCTAATGAAAGACTGTATGAAAAATTGTTACTGCTTCCTCTCCTGCCCTTAAATGCAGAGCAGTTGCATTTACTTGAATTCATTTTTTCTGTTCTGTGGAGTCAGGTGGTTCTGTGGCATTTTGTATTAGCGTAGCCTGATGGAGTGCGACATGATTATTTTCAAGTGGATGAAGTCACTGGGCAGATTTTGACATGTAGGAAGTGGGTTTTGTATTCTTAGAAGCATTACATTGAGCAGTAAAGTACTATAAAAGAAACATAAAAACATAAGCTCAAGATTTACTAGAAATCTTCTCTAACTGATCAGGTATTGGTATTAATAAATACCTGTGGCATCAGTAAATAGCTGTAGAAATATTTTTCAATGAAAATTTCTGTAATTTTTTTCTAGTGGGAGAAAGCATACTGATAAGTGGGGTAATGTGATGATGCAAATATGAAAACAAGTCTGGACACCTCTGCCGTTGTTGATACCTCACAAGTGGCCATGTTCAAACTGTGAACTATCTATCTCAGGTGACTCACCAATATGCTGCATGGAAACAGCCCCAGGTTTTGGCTTTTTGAAATCCAAATTAAGACTGCTGGAACATGAGCATCAAAATTGCAAATGAGTTGCATGATTCTAGCAGTAGGCTAAGGAGCAAACTGTGTGCCAGCAGAGAAGATCTGAAAAAAAAACCTGAAAGGTGAGCATAGCTAAAATGTAACTTGTTGAGATGCTTGAAAATCAGATTTCTAAATAACTCAAAGAAAAGTGTAGAGCTCACTGGGGTTCTAGGTAGCAATGCCAGTACCAACACCACTGAGAGTCTGTCCATCCTAAGCTGTAGCACATGCATTGCTACATGAATTGTACAACTGCTTTTTTATATTTTCATTTCTATGCCATTATTAGCACTATTCATTTAAAACTTCGGTTGTTTTTTTTTTTTTTTTTTTTTTTTTAATGAGTAAATATACTTCATTGTTTTTCAAAATCATCCTTGAGACTTAATATAAATAATCTGTGGTATCTACAAAAATACAGACTGTGTGTCTGTACTCATGTTTCGAAGGAACACAAAGCAGAATCTTTCCTTGTTTCTCTGGGAGTGCCCATGTAAGAGGAATGCACAGGGACTGACTGATGTGAGGTTTCACTTTAAATATCAGCTGTGACTCATTTCAGTTACCTTCTACGAGAGCATTAGACTTCATTAATTACATTGGCTTAATCTCTTGGAGCCCCGTTCAGGGTCTGAGCCCAAATGGGAAGTTTCATGCAATTACATGCAGTAACCTGGAAAGCATAGCTCTGTAATGTATATTTTATTTGTGTGGACACAAATGCAAGAGGCGCAAATTGGTCAAAAATCCAGGCTTTACATGGCATTCTCCTGGGAAAACAGCACAAAGCTTTTTTTTTTTTTTAAGCAGAAGCCTAGCATCCTGCAAAAGGAACCCTGACGCCATGCTCATATTTCTTTCCAATCTAGTGTATGTCTACTTTCAGAGCCTGCCATTACTTTTACTGTATTTTCATTGTGACAGAACATTGCATTCAGACCCTTAGGCTGCCTTTCATCCTGGCATTCAATAATAATGGACAGCGTGTAAAGATCTGTAATCAAAAGGTAAACACTGCGGCACTGTGTACAAATAACTCTTTGAGATATTTATCCTGAAAGACATCCAGGTTAACATTTTAGCTGGGGACACCAGGGAGACCTGCCTGTGGTGAGCAAGCTCCTTCTTTTGGGTTTGTTTTCTGTTCTGCTGTTTCCTGGTGCATCAGCTCAGCAAGTGTGCAAGCACAGAGCTGCTGCAGGAGCAAAGCCATTTTAACAGCACTGCTCTGAAATTCTTTCACTCTTGGTTTCTCCCTATTGCCCTGATCTCCATTTAAGCAGCAGTTGCTGGAGGGTTCTACAGCCTTGTCTGAACCCGAGTGTTGTGCCACTTAGGCATTCCTGGTGTAGTTTAATCAATACTATCCTCATGGACCTGGCAACAGATGTAGCTAAACCTGCATGACAAAAGGAATAAGCTATATCGCATAAGGTGCTTTCCAGAAGTCCATTTATTGCTGTGCCATATGCCCTTCTAAGAAGTAACTTATATCTGGTGACAGTATGAGTATACAAGCAAAGGAGACAGCTGTCTAAGGAAGGGAAAATATAAGAGCCAAAACAAATCAGAGTAGATAAAGCAGAGTTGCAAAAAGCCAGGGAAGACAGGAATTACTTCGGCTTTGGAAACTATAGAAGAAACTGAATTGGCTGTCATGGTCTGAAGGCTGTGCACAGAGAGAGCCTCTGGCCTCCCTGCTGCCAACCCCACCAGTGGGCACAAGGGCTGTGGTGTGTCAGGGCTTTTGCAGCCCTTGTTCCCTATTGAACTGTGTAGAGTTCTATGGAGCTTGTAGAGGGACTTGCAGGAACGCGTGAATCCTCTCACTCTTACCTCCTTCTATACTGATATGTGAGAGAGCCCTAGAAAAAAAAACAAGGAGGTCATTTAAATTTCCCTGTGCTAGAGCACAGATTTTTTGAATTTTGTTTCTTTCCTGATACTCTCAGATATTGCTGAAATAATACCATATGAAAGAGGCTTACAATTTTTTTTCCACAGAGTCACAGAAAGGTGTTATATGCCTTATCATTTACTTGAACCTAAAATAGGCATAAATATAAAAGAGTAAAGAAAGTGAGAATCTAAGTCTTTTTTTCCAGTCTTTTCATTTTGTTCCTGTGGTCCTTGAGCCCTTGTGTGCATGATAAAGTGAGCACTCTGTACAAAAGGTACTTAGGCCATGGACAAAACACCAGGTTAACTCATGACAAATTGAGCTGTCCCAGCTGCAAACACATGATTCAATTCCTAAAAGTGATTTAGTTTGGTCCCAACAACAGGAGCAAATGGAGCCCTAGATCTAAATGTCTGGTGCTCTGTAATGCCTGCCTCTGTACACAGACTGTTCTTTCAGGTTTCCAATACACTGCTTGATCTCTTGTGCTCAGCTGCTATCATGCAATTTCCAGCAAGTATTTCAAGACTTAGCTGTCCCTTTTTGTGCCCGTAGTATTAATCAGCTCTGGAGGAGGCAGGCGGGATGGGGGGAGTATTGATGGAGCCGGTCAGGCTGCGGCGCTGCCCTCCCTACCGGAATCCTGATGGTGCAGCTGAACCTCTTCAGCTGATGTAAAATGAGGCTGGAGCAGGATCTGTATGCTCTGAGGAAAGTGGAAGCAGGGGCGGAACTGTGGTGTTCCCAGGGCTTTCAGGAAGCAGGCTGACATGCCATCAGCCTCTCAGGATTTGCCTAGGTCATCAAGTCTGATTTGAGTATATCACTGTTACAGCTCCCTTTCAAGGTTTCCTTGGCTTCCTGTACTTCCTCTTTTGTTTTCAGATAAAGAACTGAAATACCATGGAGACAAACTCCTTATAAACACCAAGCAGACAGACAGGTCAGCCTCTTTGAGCCACGTTATTTTACATGACTTACAGAGTAGAAGCAAAGCGAAGGTTAGGGAAAAATCCCATTATTTTCAAACCAGTCATCTCATGCAGTGGCTACAGATAATTCTGTTTGTAACAAAAGATGAGTAAGTGCTCCCAGAAACCAGAAGTGGTATGCTGCGTGGTGCATCTCTCTGTTACAATTTGAAAATCAGGGTATTTTTGTTTGCTCTTTATCTGTGATGTTTTGAACAGTAGCAACTTTAATCTGCTTTCCCCTACCAGATTTGCCTGTATTAGTCAGAGACTGCTAACTACTTCATCATTAATTACATCAAACATAACAAGACTTCTTACAAGTTAAAACAGTACTCACTAAGAGTAAATCTGGGTGAGTCATGCTGTTATTTTTAGTCTGAATAATAACATTAAAAGAACGAAAGGAAAAGCATTAAATTCTCATGGCAACCTGTTGGTGACAGCAAAGCTACATTAAAGTGCAGCTTGCATTTAAAAACAAGCAAAAATACACTGAACTGAACCCTGCATATTCTCAGAGAGAGATGGGCTCACCAGATTTTCATTAAATTACTTAATTATGTTTATACAAAAAGCACCTGGTTTCTTCTAGTTTTAAAGTGACTGTCTGACCTAGCAATGCCTTAGCTAAGTAAAGCAATGACTGAGAAGAAGATTGCAGATGCCGGGGAGCCCTTTTGTTTCTTTCAGATAGGAACAACAATTCCCATTCACAAAGCAGATTAAAACTCATCTTTCAAATGGATTCACTGTATTGCCCCCAATTTATGAGCAAACGAAATCACTGTGATCAGGTGTGGGTATGAAGTAGCACTAGGTGTTGTTGATTAGGACAGAATCACCTGTTTCTTAAAGCCCTGCTGGGGGCCGGGGGGGTAGAAGCCATTTGCTCCCATTGTGTTTCTAAGCCTGAGAATATGCATGACTCCTGTGAGCGGGTCCTTTACGTGAGTGCTTTCAGGTATGGCTATTTATTTATCTAGATAATATCTTGTAGAAGTTTGTCTAAATGCAGATTCAGTTAATTGGTGATATATGTATTTTTAGTGGGATTAGATGTGGCTCATATTTACTAGGCTTGAAAAAGAGAACAAGGACTCTCTATTTAAAACTATTCCAGGCGTGAAACCGTTATATTTGCCCGGTTGAGTACACGGGAGTTTAGAGAAGCACATTTTTTGAGGTTCAAGACAATACAAATAGTCAAATGCTGAACAAGCATGGTTGTTCTGGTAAGCCTTGCTCAATGACTGAATGTTCAACTATTTATAATTTTTTTTTTTTAAAGCTCCTTTTCCTTTCCTCTTCTCCTTTTAGCCCATCACCATCAGACATAAACTGTTTTGTTCTTACTAGTTGAATCTAAGCAGAATGCCAGCATTGGAATCCAGCTAACATCTCAACCCCAAGGAGATTTATGTAGCTGCAAATAGAAAAATAGGAGTATTCATAAAGCAGTAGCTGAGTCATGCTAGTTGGCTGGGACTTTGCTTTATCCTACCGATAAGTGAAGATGGTGAATGTATTGCAAACTAAACTTTGTGATGTAAAAAGAAGGAAAATCAGTAACAAAACTCAGATCTGTTTGGGGATTTGTTTTCTCTTGTACACGTGTCAAGATACTGTAGTTTAAGTAGCAAAAAATGGAGCGATTTGCTCTTTTTAATTCTGTCTGATCAGCTGTAACTCTAGATTATCATACAGATTTCCTGGAGATGAATCATTCAGACTGCTTAAAAATGTGAAATGATTGATACCAATTTTCTGTTGAGAAAGCTGTGTTTAGTTAAACTGTAAGCTTCCCCTAATGAAATAATCTGCCCAAATCTGGGCTGTTGTCCACAAAATGCAGAGAGGCTGAAAAACAAAGCATGTTGATTGCTAACAAGGACCTATTTTTGCTGTCAATCAGCGCTTTTTATTTCAAACTGGACGAAACTTTTAGATGCGATATTTGTGAGTCTTTACAGCAAGTCTCTGGCATTTCAGTAAATCAAGGCATCATTTTTTCAGGAAAAACTTCACCCTAAATTTTGTCGTGTTTTGCTGTCTTTGTGTCAGTTTGAACAGATTTGTTGCATGTTTCTGATTCTCACATAAATAAAGTTCAGCCCACTGCTCTTACTTTGCTAGCCTTGCTGCTGCAGTGAGGAATCTAAGAAATTAGCCGAGGAAACCAGGGCATCTTTGGATTGTCTCCAAAACCACATTAACACTCACTGCTTCAGGAGGAAAGAGGCAAAAGCCTCTTATTTCCTTCGAAGGCAGGAATTCTGGAAATCTTTAACTGATACATCAATGTGCTTTCAATATCTTTATTCAGAATTTAAACTGTATTTCATTGTTAACAACTTGTGCTTTAGCTTCATTTCTAACTAATACACTGTCAGGAGAGCAGATGGCAAAAGTTACAGGTGTTGTTTTTTAATGCATTTGTCAAAAAAGAGTTGCCTGCTGTTTTCACGGGTACAGCCAGGCAAGGACTCACCAGCTGGGTGTTGCTGCAGTGCTACCCACCTGTGTGGCTTTGTCTAGCTTGACTTGGTGTTGGCAATGCTGAGTGATGTTTTCTGCTTTCTTTGCCTGAATAGGTCTGAGGCTGGGCCTTAAAACAAGGGACATGATAGTTGCCAAAGTATCTTTTAGATTCAAGGGGCTACAAAGCTGTATGAAGTTCTGTGAACCCTGTATATAAGCTTGAAGATCTAAGTTGCAAGTAAAAGTTTGTCTTGTTCTGTTAAGTACTTCAGATTAGATTATAATACACTAGAGATAGCAATTTTTCATTGAGGTTGTCTTAACATTTTCTGTTATTTTCTTTGTATCCCTGAGGGAGGGATATGTGCACTTTCTTTTCTATGCATTTGTAATTAGGAATGATGTTGTCTGCAGAATTGTTGCTGCACAGCTCTGTGTTGTGCACTCCTGTAATTTTAGTCCTTTTTGAGAATTCAAGGGAAAACCTAAGGTACCCAATTTATCAAGCACTTTTCGTATAATAAGCTTTTTCTCAGATTCTCAAGTGCTGAGAATGACTTCTTTGATTAAGAACCTTTTTAAAAGGTGCAAAGGCTTTTTCTGTATCATAATTTGCACTTGCTCAATTGATGCCTTCCTTCTGTCTCCCTCCCTCCTCCAGTAGATGAGCTGTTCAACTAAAAGGCAAATTTAGTCATCATGAAGGGATTTTTGTAGTCGTGATAGAGTAAAGCGCAGCATGAAGATGTAGATGTTCATATGCAACCATTTAAACCAGAGAACCATTTAAAGGAGCGTTGATTGCTGAAACAAATATGTATAGACATTTTCTAAGAGCTAAGGGAACTATTTACGTATTTAGGCCTATGTATGTGTTTGTTGGTGTGACACTGACTACAGGCATTAGATAAGGACTTGGAGGGCACACTGGGGTTTGAATTACAACCAAACCCAGCTGCCCATCTTGAATGCCATCATGCTACTCCTTGTCACCACCTGTTGTGATTCTGCTCAATGCTGCAGAATTGACACTGTGCAACACAGCAAAGTGCTATGTAATCTGCTCTACTGCATCTGGAAGAGGAAAAATAAACATGTACTGTCTGTCACTTTGGATAACAAGCCTCTTATCAGCTCTTACAATGTTTGTAAGGGAGTTGGGGGTAAGTGCCCATGGTTCACTAGTTCAACACCTGTGCTGATAATACCAGCTAATGTGCGATTAGCTCTCTGTAAAGTAAAGCTACTACCAAGTTATTTCTCTCTATGATGGAGCACTGCACAGTGTGCTGAAGGTACAAACCTTGACTAACATAGCATGGTTTTAACTACTGAAGAGTTTTCACAGTGCATCTGAATGTAGACTGTATTCATAGGTGTTGTTTCTTTTGACAGATTATGGCAGTGTGGAAATGGAGGACAAATACAGATAGATGTTATTTTTCTTACATCTCATTGTGTTGTTTGGCAAGTAGGTTTGACAATTTTACGTAGTTGTTAAATTCACAACTATACTACTGGATTCTGAGTCCTACACTTCTAACAAACAACCCGGCAAGGAATAGTGTGGCTTTTAGAAGACTGAGGACAAACAGCCTGAAACTGGGAAAACTCTTCCTCAGCCCTGCTTTGTCAGCTGAAAAAGAGAAGTATTAGCTCTGCAGTTTAGGTGTAGAGACATGTTTGGTTGCTAGCTAATCATAGGTGATAAAGAAAAAAGCATATGTATACACTTTTTCCCTTTTGAAAGAAGCACAGAATGTTTTACTGTTCTCATCAGAAAAGCTGGCATGCAAACATGGTTGTTTGGCTATTCTTCATTCAGTGCAATTCTGGAGAGTGTAAATTCATTTTGAAGTAATGTAAGACTACTCGTGTGTGTGTGTATGTTGTTAAAAAGGCTTTTTGTGTTACAGAAGTACTGCAGAGATGTACATCCAAAGCAGGCTGTAAAGCCCTGAATGGATTAGGGAACTTGTAAGTGAGGAGTGGTTCTTGTTCTCATGGAGTGGTGCTTGTTGTTGGCAGTAGTTGGGTGGGATGTGAAGGAGGAGGAACAAGGGTGACCTGAAGGAAAAATAAGTTATTTTTTGTAATCTTAATTTTCACTTCTAAACTTGAGTAATAAACTTGACTACATTGCCAACTGGACCTGGCCTGGGTTGTGTTCCTGTCCTTGATCATCTCAGTAGATATTTCACTCTTTCTTCAGGTTTATACTGATATATGAGGATACTTCAGTATGTACAGTGTGAAGGTGATGCTACAAACATTATTTTTTTCCCCTAGTGAGAGAATCTGGAGAAGGTCATTGTGGCTTGTGCAGAGAGTATAATTATCTGTGTCCTGTAATACCAGATTTATCCAGTTGTTCTTTTTCGGGTCTCAAAAAGAAGAGATTGAGTAAGAGGAATATGGGAACTGCTCTGTAATCCAGTTTTTTCTCTATATTAATTTAACATATTGTATTGAGATCCAGGTGATGTCAAAATTCTTTGAGATGTTCGGTTGACTGACCCAGTAAGGAGAAACACTTCCTGAAAATGTTTTATGAATGAGTAACTGGGTGTCAGCAGTAAGGAATGTCATGCTTGGTTCTGCTCCAACATCTGGCAAATTAAACTTCTGAAACTCTTGTTCATTATGTAAATGGAAGAGTTGTGCTGAAGCATTATCATGGCAAAGTGACTACTCCTCGCCTAGCGTGGCTGTAATGGTGGGGGATTGTGCTGCTGAAGCACACCAGTCTTGTGGCATAATTGCTAAAACATATACTCTGAGGTGTTCTTTAGAAGGGCTTTATTGCAGATCATCTTGTATTAACACACTGTCATGAGGCCAAAATTGGCATTGTCTTTATCTGGAGCGTTCTGGAAGGGAAACATAGTTTCTCCTGCCCCTTTATCTAGGGCTTATAAATGAAAAAGCACTTAGTCGGATTTGTAGCCCTCATTAAATGATTGTGATACTGGATTTATCTTGTCCTGAGGGTAAAACCTGCTAGTCCTCTCCATTTCTTTGCAGAGCTGCTCAGATGAAGTGTACCCAGGACAGAGCAAACTGGCACTGTGGTGGAATTACATTCTGGAGGGAATAAGGCAGACTATTACAACTACTTTACTGCTTGTTGTAATAGCCAGCCAAGCTGTATGGGTAGGAATGTGCCTGTTGTCCACTTTAACATGTTTGCTGACCCAAAACCTTGCCAAGAACCTATTTGCTGTCAAAATTAAAGCTGCTTTGACTGTGCCCTGATATGTGTTGCTTTAATGGAAGCAATCCAGTGATGGCTGTAGTTCCTGACCACTTCTGAAAGCTTTTTGTCTTGCTCATCCCTAGTGTTGGCTGCCAGATGATGTAATGAAGATACACTGAAAGCACTAGTCATCTACATATTGCTAAGCATTTGGGAAGCATTTTGAAATGTTCCCCCTCAGTTCTACTGAGGAGATAAAACTCCTCACTCCATCAGGTCTGAAGAAA